TTTGTTAAAATGCAATCCCAACAGCAGCAGCAACAACAACAACAGCAACAGCAGCAGCAGCAATCGCTACAGCCGCAACCCTCAGGTCCTAAAGAGCATAATCATCGCCATCGATTAAGACCACGTTCCAAAGATTTTGATCAAAGTCATGAAAGTCTCGATTTGTTAGATAATAATGTAACGGAGAGTAAAACAAATGCTTCGGCACGTTATCATCGTCATAATCACCACCACCATCATCATCATCATCATCATCATAATCATAATAATTATCATGCTCGTCAGCGTACAAATCAACAACAACATAACATTGTCAACGATGACGATGAACGTGATGATACCGAAGATAATTTAGCGGATGAAGAATTTGAAGATGACGAAGTAGGTCGCGATGTACGTAAGAAACGTTTATTACCAACTTCTCATGCTTTAAATAATTCTTCCTCAATGGATTTTGTTAAAATGCAATCCCAACAGCAGCAGCAACAACAACAACAACAGCAGCAGCAGCATAATCTTCATTATAACAGTGAAGACGATTTAAATGATGAAGATGAAGATGATGGGAACGGTGATAATGAACGAGCAAATCGTGCAAATGAAACTCCAGTCAGCACTGCTCTAACCAATGGGCAGTGCCAAAATGACACTCGGTTAGAAGCAAATGTGATAAATGATGAATTGAAATATGGTGCCGGTCATCATAATCTTCATTCAATGGACTCTAATCCGATCGAATCGCAATCTGAATGGTCAGACGATGATTGTCGTGAAGAAGCTACAGGTAATTGCAATTAAATTACAATATAAACTGATTTGCTACATCGTGTATTATTTTATTTCTCGACCTAATTCATCTCTCTGTTCGCTCAAGTAGAATTTTTAAATCAAAAGTTTATGTATAGATTTTCAGACATGTTGCTTCCAGGCTACAAATGCTCGCCAGGCTCGCAACATGTACGACCGAAAACCGTAGCAAAAAAAAACAATTGAAGTCCCTTTCAAGCACTTATTTCAATAGGTTCGCTTAAATCGATTTATTACCGGGACTCAATCATAGGATTCAACTAAGATAGGATAAGTTTCAGCGAATACTGAAACACATATATAGCCCTCTCACTCTCTCTCTCTCTCTCTCTCTCTCTCTCTCTCTCTCTCTCTTTAATTAAAAAAACTGAAAAGCATACTTGCGAAGAAACTGCGAAGAATTGTAAGCGTGGTGTGATTTTGTTATACAATCGCGTGAGAGAAAGTTTAAAGTACAGTCATACACTTCGCAAAATGATCATTACAACGAAGGCCCGAACACTTTGCGAAGAAAGCAAAAAACAAAAAAAAAAACAAAATTTAAAAACATTTTCCGAGGACTGGATTTGATAACTTTTGAAAAATCGATGCATTGATAAAAGGAACAGGCTATTGAATTGATTCGGACCTTCATTAGATTTACTGCGTCATTTAACCACAACCTTTTCGCTCCCCTTGAATGAGTTTCGTTAACCATTAAACATTCGCTTGATATATTAAGTGGTGAAGCCGTAGTTTTAAGTTCTTTGTGAACACATACATGGGCACGTCATTTTTAATGTTTCTATTCATTCAGGTGTTAGGTTAGGATGTTGAGAACGTGCAAGTGAAAGCATCGAACGAATGTTCAATATAATATTGATTCATAATCTTAGGTCAAGTACATGGTGTTCAGAAATTATAACAAAAAAAAAAAAAAAAAATAAATAAATAAAATAATTTGCATATTGTTTTTCTCTCTCGGACTTAGGCGGTGCTGAATCCACTGGGTATATAACCGATGAACCTGGCTTGGAAAATATTTCCCTGTTAAACGAAGCTGGCTTAACTGATGCCGAGGGTGCATTATCTGACGTCAATTCACTATACAATGCACCTGATGTCGACGATACTTCCGTATCAAGTCGCGCCAGTTCACGATTGCTAAGCTTAGACTCACTCAGCGGCCTATATGACTGCGATTTAGATTCGAAACATGAAATGGCCATTGTAAATGTATCTCATAAAATAACCAATAAGTTTGGACCACAACAGCAGCAACAACAGCAACAGCAACAGCAACAACAGCAGCAGCAACAACAACAGCAGCAGCAGCAACAACAGCAGCAGCAGCAGCAACAGCAACAGCAACAGCAATCGCAAAAGCAGCAACAAAGTTAATTAAAAAAGAAAACAAAAAACCGATTCTATCAAAACCAAATGAAACAAAACTTCAACTATTAGTAATTAAAATATTGAATGATCCTTACTTTTCTGTTCAATTATAAACCATGTGGTGTCTATTAAATGTTATGTATTGGTGTTACTATATATATTTAACTCAAATATTTATACCAAATATTGCGATTCTTTAAGCTCAAGGAATCCTATGAAGATTTTTCATTTTCCTATTCATCGTTCATCGAAATTAAAAACGACAAAAAATGTCTCTTTCATTCATATTGAGAACCTTGAGAACTTAACAGAATTACAGCAGTATATAGAGCATTACGTAGCCGATCGAAATAATTAAAAAATTTAGTTAAGTACTGAAGAATTGATGGTATTTTTTTTAAATAGGAAAGCAGTAATAACAAGTTTCAAAACACATTTCAAAAAGCACTCATTAAATCCACTTAACTATTTAATTTTAAATTTAACAAAAAGAAAAGAAAAAAAAAAATATATATATATATATATATATTAAAAAGAATGAATATGTTTAAACGACTATACATATAATATAAGAGCAGGCTTTAATCATAATTTTATTTTAATTTACAAAAATTTAAAAACAAAACACAATATGATAACAAATTAAATTTGACGTTAGATGACAATTTTTTCATTATATTAAAATATAATTATAAGAGCATATGTATATAAATATATATATAAATATATATATATATATATATATGCTTTCACTTAATAATATTTACTTAAAGTGTTTACTTAACAAAAAATAATAACAACAATAATAATAATAATAATAATAACGAACGGATGTATTAAGAAAGCGCTAAGCGCTTTATCTTAATCTCTTTTAATCTACAGCATTAGCATGAGCAAATTTCGATGTCGAGAAGAGGACACCACGGTTTCTGCTCATTATTCATTAAAAACGGATTAGGTTAACCAAAATGGTAGCTATACGAACGAACAGCAGCCAAGACAAGCAATCATCATCAATCAGTTGGCTAACGGATTATGTAAAAGATTGTTTGCCATTCAGATAGCTTTTAAGCATCTAAGCAATCGAATGGTTGAACCGATAATCAGCTAAATATATGCTATATGATGAATGGTTAGCTACTTGCGTTGCTTGAAAGCTGGAAATATATATCAATGAGTGATGTAACTATGTTGTTGGTTATTTAAATCGACAAAACGTTGGATGACTAAGATGACTGGCCATTAGTGATATTAGCTTAGTAGATAAGTGCACGATTCAATAGCTAAATGATTTAATGTCATTGGCTGCTTTGCAATTACAGGGTGACGCTTTTGAAAATTTTATATTGAACTTCACGCCCCTTCAATTGTTGTCGAAAATTCCAAAAAGTAGCCGAGACGGAATCATATTTTCACTCTCTTTCTCTTTGACTGTGCTTTTCTATACGAAACATTTTTGCGAATCTCATTTACTCAGCGGGATATCTTCGCCCAACGATTAATTACGATAATGCAATTCAATAGGATACGATATTGAATGGATTGTCATCCTTTTTACAATCTATAATGCTGTAGACTCTTAAATAATCGGATCCAACTGATTATGCTATTTTTACTTGGTTTCGTAGTTTTTGTTTTTAATTTTTAATTCCTTAGATATTTTAATATATTTAATTAGTCCATAAGTTTACTAAAACACTTTTCTTTAATCATCTTTATAGTTACACATTGCTATACAATGCAAACATTTTCGTTAGCACCGGCATATTCAATCAATCGAGCAATCAAATTATATCTATATTTAATAGGCATATTTTCGTTGATAAGTGAGATTTAGAAGAATTCGTTTTTGAATTTACCATTCGATGGTGTAATGAGAAGAATGTCAACAATTTTCCGTCAGAGATTTGCTAAGAATAAGATTCTCTTTAAGATTTTTTCCTTCCCGTTTTTTTTTTTTTTTGTTTTTTTTAAATTTATGGAATATGAGGAATTGATCTGCTAACTGCGCATAACTTATATAAGGCCAGTATACCTAAGCGGACTATATTCGCTATTTCATTAAGAATCTCGTTGGCTCGATGTGCTGTAAGTAAAGGAAACGAGAATCTACTCTTATGCTAAGAGTTTTGGAGTTTTAATGAAATGTTTACAAAAATATTTTTAAAATTAATAGTTAATAAAACAATTAAGGTACAACTATTGTTCTCCGAGGACCCTACCGAATTTCATTAGCTTTAAAATTTTCGATAATCTTCTGAACGCTCTTTCTATTAAATCTTACAAGATCTCACTAAAAAATCTCCGAACTTCAAAAAAAAAAAAAAAAAAAAAAAATGAAAAGTTATTCTATTCCTTGCTCAAATAATTGAGTGCATCACACTCACATCATATTTTCGCTTCACTTATTTAATCGTAGTTTTAATACAAAAATATTTTCATATTTTTATAATCGCCACCACAAACACAACACAAGGACATACTACAGTATGATAAGACGTATTTTTTATTTTTCTTCCCCCCATTAGTTATATATGCCCGCGCTTCGTAGGGGAAAAAATTGAAAAGAAAAGTTCTTGAGCATGATTTTTAGCGACTCAGTAGTAGAGTTTTCCGATCCAGATAAAAACATTATATTAATCGGCCGTAAATATGATCTTACAACCCAGCAGGCAGAAAAGGCAGAAAAATTAATTATATATTTATCTCACTCCTTAATCAAACACTGATGCAAAATTAGCTTATCCCAGGCATGCAACACTACTGGTAGCCATTTTTTGAAAAATGACTATAACTTGAAAAGAATTTGAGGTGGTGTTTATCCAAGATTCGTCTTAAGACGAATATGTTTTTTTTTTTCCATCTATTTGAATATATATATATATATATATA